CCCCAAAACCCCAAAACCCCAAAACCCCAAAACCCCTAAATAAAAATTTTAAATTGATTTTAAAATTATAATTAAATATTACAAATGCCTGCTAAGAAACAAGACAAGAAGGGAGGCCAACAGCAACAAGAGGAGGATCTTTCAGACCTGAGTTCACTTCCACATTTGAATATAGTCACAATGTCAACATTGTACTATTTTTACTTTCAGAAAAGCAGAGATGAAGTCAAGGAAACTATTGATTCAATGTTGTCAGAGGAGCAAGTCGCCAATCTCGAAGGACTTACACATGTAAAGACCATTACGAGAGAAAGTATCATTGAAGCACTTCAAGGTAAGATTTTAAAAGAAATAACACTATTTTGTAGCTAAAGCAGAAGCTGTAGAAGGAGAAGAGCCAAAAGAAATCGATTCAAAAGCTATTGCACAAGGATTTACTGAGAAAATAGTTGAACTAGGACTTCCTTTAAGAAGAGAGAAAAAGCAATCATCTGGCCAAGACGAAGCCAAAGAAGATGAGGGACAAGATCAGCCAAAATCTGAGCTTACTAAAACAGATATGATGATAAATCTGGTCAACTTCCCACTGAATCAGGAAGAATTTGTAGAATTTACCAAACTCAGAAATCCTCTTAATAAATTATAGTTGTGGTTAGAGAGAAAAAGCCTCAAGACTTTGACGAATTATTGAAAGAATCACATAAAGAAAAGCCACAAGAAGGCGAGGGAGAAGGAGACAAAGAGCCTGCTCCTGAAGGTGAAGGAGACGAACCTCCAAAACTTATCGAGAATGAAGAGAGAGATGTAGTAGATAAATTAACCAGGTCATATGATTACAAAGCATTTAAATCCCCTAAGGATTCCATTCACAAATTATCTGATTTGAAAGTCTTTCATTATGAACATATTGTTGAGGGAGCTGAAGAAGGAGCTGGTGAAGGTTCCCAACCGCCAAAGAACACACTAAATGAACTAAAGGAGAGATTCTCTACAGAGCTTATTTCATCAGAGAAGAAATTTATTGAATTTTATAACAAAGTATTATCAAACAAGGTTGAGCCTTCAAGACCAGCTACTGCTCAATCAAAGAAATCAGAGGTATCTCAGAAGTCTGAAAAATCTCAGTCTGAGCAATCTCAAAAAGAGGTAGTAAAACAAGAGCTTGTCCCTGCTGGTTTCCAAGAAAACATTATGTCCCAAGCAGTACTTCAGGAGGAAGAGTTTTATGGATCAACAGAAGATCTATCTGGACTTTCAAAATGGGATGACTTTGATATCTATTCAAAGAATACAACAAGAGTTGAATATGATAAAACGTCAGTAGCTCATTTGTTAATCTCTGCTATCAAGCAGGTCAGTCATAAGCAACAAAAAGTGAATGACCTTGAAAGAAAGAACCAAGATGTGAGTGATTTACAAGCGATGCTCAAACAAGGATTTGAATTCTCTGAACACCTTGATGAAGATAATACAGAAGAAATTCAGGTAGAAGAAACAGGCAATATTAATAGTAAAAGTTTACATCAAAACGATCATCAAGAAATCCAACAAGAAGAGCAGGACCAGGATGGGTCAAAAGAAAACAGAGGAGGGTTTTCCCAAGAAGTAGAAGACACTGTAAGTTGTATTAATTAAAATTCTAGAAACCTAAAGTAAAAGTAGTAGCTGGGTTAAAGTCTCCACTATTTGACCAAGTAGACCAAATTGTGCTACAGAATCATCTAATGATGTGACTCGATGGTACAAGTCTGGAGGATATTGAGAGAGGTATTCTGAATAGCCTTGTGCTACCTGGGACTAGAAGAGAAGGAATGCCAGAGAGTCCAGAACTATCTCTTCCAAAAAGAAAAGCTGACATAAACGAAATAGTCTCTTTCTCAACAATTGGATCCGAGAAGATTCAGAGAGCTCTTTGGATGAAAGAAATCGCTGATCTTATGAAAGATAAAGAGCCTGAACGAGAATGGGAATTTTATGATAGAAATTACTGGAAGGCTTTATCTAAAGACGCTGTGAAGTATGAGATCAGCAGATATTTGCTACTCAATCCTAATATTGCAACTAAATACAGTAGCAGAGAAGATGGGCTCTTTGTCAGTCTGTATTTCAAAAATCCCCCAGGAAGAATCATGAGGAATCAGTGGAGTTATAATTTTGCCACTTCAACTGAGTTTAGAGATTTCTTATCAAAATATGGTAAAGCTTGAAAATAATTCATAGATGGAGATAGTACAGACTTCACTGATTTGGGAGGATCGGATGATTTGAAATACTTCAACAAGAAATCCTCAATAAAATGTAATGAGAAGACAATGTACCCAAGCGATAATAGTGTCATAAAAACGATCAAATGAGAGATTGGCAATAAGACTATTGGCAGAAGCTTGGTAATCAAAGATAACTATACTTTTGGAATGAGGGAAGCAAAGAATAGTTTCTTACAAAATGAAGAATATCTTACTCGAGAAGAAAGACAGCAAAAACAGAATAATATAAATGAAGAAAACCTCGGAGGAGAGCTATGGTGCACCCTTGGAGATCCATCTGTTCAGTTCTTTGTTGAAAATGTAATCGATGATAGAGACGAAGGAGATTCAAAAGAGAATTCTGGAGCTGCTGCTACTTTCTCATACCAAGATGGACTTATAGTCAAATTTTTACCTTCTATGGAGGTTCTTCAATCAAGAATCGATTCTCAAAGAACCTACAAACAAAAGACTGTTGATCTACCTTATAATCATACAAATGAAAGCGAAATTGAATTGAAGAGGCTGATAACAAAGCATGGAACTGTCCTAAGATATATGAAGGATAAATCCATTCAGCTTCTTTTCTCGAATGGAAATTATTCTGTATATTCTCCAAAAGATAAAGTCTGGACTAAGATCAATAACTCTGGAGAAAAATCTATGCATTACATTGATAATGAAACTGGGAAGGTTTCTAAAATAGTCAAATGTGAGCCCTTGACTGTTGAAGAGAATATTGACCCAGAGACCAACCAATTAGTTTTAATTAGGTCAGATGGAGTCATGATCATAAACTACAACGATGGTACAACTCTGACTCTTCATCATGACAACACCAAGATTTTGACAAAGCCAGATGACGAGAACTTCGAAAAGTTTATTGGTAAGGAATCTGGATAACTCTAATTTCTAGAAAAGGATGATTACGCTCCAGTCAGGATTAGATTCAATGCAGTTAAACTAAGAGCCCACACTATTATAGGAATGGGAGGTACAAATGCTCTCATGGGAATTGATAACTTAATGGAAAGGTCAAATGATGGATTCGTGTTAGATACATACCTCCCTGATGATGCTCTTGTTGAAACTTATAAAGAGAAGCAACAGCTAGAAGGTTACAATAACTTCTCTCTCAATACCATCCACTTGATTAGGAGACATGATTACAGTGTGATTAAGGTGAAGCAGGAAGGAGAAGTTGTAATCATCACTTCGAATCAGAGATTCTATCTCAATGATATTGGTTACAGATGAGACATTGGAGAGGACAAGGACTACTTCTTTGAGCTTTATGGATTTGAGAGTGATAGAAGAAGCGGTGTCTTTACCTGTGATGTATCAAACGGAACTATAAGAGTAACTGATGAGGAGTCAAATATCTTTGTTGTATATGCTAATGGAGAAAGTATCGAAAAACTCTCTGTCTCTTTTAACTTAAATGAGACTGCAGATAGTTTTGCAAGAAAGAAACCTAATTCCCCAAGGAACTTACCTGATGGAGAATATATCGATGAAGAATGTAAATTTTTGGTTCCTCCAAATTCTGTGATGGACCCACGACTCTTCTTTATCAAGAATAATGAAGAAGGGTACGAATTCTTTAACATCAAGCAACTTGAATACTTCTTAAGAGCGAGAGATGTTGATACTAAATCCTTAAATGAGAACAAACAAATCACTATTGGAACTGAGAAAGTAAATTTAATAACTTCCTTATCTACCTTAAAGAAGAGAACTCAAAGAAAGATGATTTCTGATATTGCTGAGATTCCTCAGAATGTCAGTGCAGCTGTGCAGACAATTTTGATATCCTCTAACCCTGAAGAGAAGGTGTTTATCAATTCCAAACTTTTAGAATTCGATGAAATTGATGCAATGGATATCAAGAACTTCGAAGATAGCATGGAAAGATATCAAGCACATAAGAAGATGCAAGCAGATGAGGCTAAAAGACTTGAAGTAATCGAGGAACAACTAGATTTCAGATCAAAGGCTAAGCTGAAAGAAGAGCAAGAGTTCTTTGAGAAGGTGTTGAAATTAAGGAACCAATAGTTCTGTATTTCAATAAATTTAAAAATGTGTGGGGTTTTGGGGTTTTGGGGTTTTGGGGTTTTGGGG